ACTTGCTCCATGATCAGTAATTACCACATTAACTCCATTTTCTGAACAGTAGTTACTGTTTGTACACCTCACCTACATTTTACGGTCAACGGTGATTTCAGAATTTGAAATTTATAGATAGACGATGAATTTAACTGATATACAATGATATTGAATTTTAAGGTTAGGGTTAGTGGTTTGATCAGGAATTTCTCTAAGAGGTCATTTGCTAGCTGGTTGGAGTTGAGTTATGCAAGTATCAAATCATGTATAAGTACTAAGTATTATCACGTTTAATAGTTGGGTGAGTTATTTATGTATAAAATGGGATAAGACATAAGTATCATCTAAATTATGATCGAAATCTCAGAGACACACACTTAAACTTAAATAGGGTCCTATTACCCCGTAGTTAAATAGGACCCTTGTTAAATTTAGGGTTCTATTTAACTATTTTATCATTTTTGTAATTATCTTTTAGGTGATTAATAATGTACGTATAAAACTTAAATTAATTTTGTACTTTTATACCTGATAGCATGCACCACATCCTAGACCGTCGCGATAAAGATCAGAGGCAGCCGATACATCTCCACCGTTGATTGTTGCTCCAAAAGTACCAAATCCACATGCGCCAGCTGCATATATTTAAACAGAATAATAAATTATTAAATGTGTCAAAATTTAAAACACAAGTTACTTGCAGAGATATTTTATAAAATGTTACTTGTAAAATTTATTTTCTCTATTTCTATCAGAAAAAATATTTTTTCATCCTAAAAAAAATAATATTTTTCAGAATATTCTGACCAACGAAAAATACTTTTCTTTTAATGAAGATATTCTTACTTTCTGTTCCTTTTTCTTCTGAATTTGGATAATAAGCTGCTCGAGATTGGATGAAATTTTGAGCATTTCCCAAATAAACTTGTATGAAAATTACTAATAAAAATGTGGAAAATATCTCAAGAACTTGAAGAGGTGCCATTTGAGAAAGAGAGTTACAAATAAGTTACTGTAATTTGTAAGGAATAAAATTAAGTTGTTGTGAATGATATTGTTGATGACATTTAATGAGTATTTATAGTAAGGTTTAGTTTAAAATTGGTCAAAAAGTAATTGAGACATTTGACAATTTTTAGATCAATTTGAATACATTCATGAGTTCTTTGCTTCAACTTTGGGTAGCTACGTGCCTTCTTAGATAGCTAGCTAGTTTCTAAACTTTGAATGAATTTATATTGTATTATACTTCGATTTTTTTTAAAATTTATGTGAATGTATCGAAAAAATAATGTGAAAGTTGTGATATAATAGCATGTTAGGTTAAGATGCTGAAATCAACTTATTTTTAAAATTCATGTTTTTCATCGAAGGTGTTTTTTGAAAAATAAGTAAATTATTTTGAGAGTTAACAAATTGTGTTTGATCAATATTTTTTTAAAGTGGTTTTAATTGTTAAATTACTAAAACAAAAGTTACTGCTAATGCTAATTTTAATTTGGTAAATATGGATTTATTAAAAGCTCGGTCAGACACTTTTATTCTCTAAAATAAGTCTTTATATTTAATACACATATTCTTGTCTTTTAGAAATTTGGCTAAACATGTTATTCTATAAAGTAAGTCATAGATTATACTTTAAACTTGATATTATTTTATCCCATTTGAAAAGTGAAATAAATTAATCTCAAAACTATTATTCCTAGTAAATAAATTAATCCCAGGATTTCTATGGTCATATGTGGTTGTGGGTAGAATTTATTTAATGCATAATATATAAAAATGTCATTTAACTTGACGTTAATTGAAATTTATGTTCTTCGACTTTGAGTGTGCACAAGTACACACTTAAGCTTATATATAATTTAACAAGTAGACATACACGTCCTACGTGGTGTCCTAAATGATAATTTGCAGTTCCATATGACATTCTACATGTATTGTGTTACGTAGAACGTGTGTATCTACTTATTCAACTTTATACAAACTTAACTGACTACTTGTGCACATTAAAAATTAGAGCACACATATACTAACTGAGACCAATTTAAAAAATACACTATTGTGCCTTTATTTAATTATGGTATGAGATTTAATGTTTGGTATGAAGCCATTTAGATTCCTCCTGTATTTTGGAAGACAAATTTAAACAAGATTTTCTTGTAGTAGAAGTAAATTGGAGGATGAGTTAGGTATTTGCGCATTATATATAATTAGGAAAATATACATGCATGTATCATTTTGTTTTACCAACTTTGCAGCCTTAAGAATATAAGCAGTTATCTCTTTAATTATTTCACCAACTTTGCGGTCAGGAACGGAGCTAGAGTATTAAGTACAAAGTTCAAACAAATTAATTTGTTAAATATGTGTATGCAAATATCATTGCCAACTTAGTACTTGTGAAATAGAGCTACTATGATCTTGATGACGATGTTTAAAATCTAAAAGTTTTAAATTTCGATTCCACATCCTTTGCTTATAGTGTAAGGGTGTGGAATCTTGGAGCAAATGGTAGTAAATTGTCACAATATCCCAAAATCTGATTCTTGCCTATGATTGCATTCTAAACCAAAATAAGAAATTTGAAAAACTTATTAGTCTAAAAGTAAAGTCTTAGAGCAGGTGATAGTAAATTGTTGCATTCCTAATTACGAACTCAATAACTAAAATAATCTACTAACTAATGACAAGCTCAAAATCACAAATGTCAACCTTTGACTTTTATCTCCATTTGCAGCCTAAATCAAAAGATTAAATTTCTAACGATTTGTATCCCTTGAACTTTTTGAAATATACCTTCAAACATACTTTAACCCAATTTTTTTAATTTAATTAAAAAAAGACGCACAACTTTTTTATTGCACCCAATAAGTCAATTTTCATATCCTATCTCTAAGATTGCACAGCCATTAGATTTTGTTTTGCCAAATAATTGTCTCCACTTTGTTTCATATATTGCAACAATGAAAATAAATAATAATTTATAATAATATAAGTAGTTTATAGACTTCAATGGTGGAAACTAGACACATAATTACCACATCAGCCATGACATGGAAACCACTCAAGATTTTGGACCCTACCATGGTCTGCTTTGATTTTTTTAGACGCTTGTATCGAATTATTTTAATTTGATGAGTTCAGTTTTTAAATACTTTATAATTAAATTAATAGCATAACATTCTTTTTTACTATGTTTGGAATATTTTTCTAGTTTTGATAATATATTAAATTTGTAATTTTAAATTAGTGTATTTGATGTTATATTCACCTATTGTTTAAATTTCTAGATTCCACGATCAACACCTGATTACTTTTAATAATTTAGATGTATTAACATTTTAAGAGAATAAATTTGGACCCCCCCCCCCATTACTGAAGAAGGGTATAAGTAGATAATTTGACATTATGCCAAGATAATCCATAATTGTAAATGTTATTAAGGACTTTAATTTCTGACTATTGTCAAACATTATTACAATGTTTAGATAGAATAGGTGGAACTAAGAATGGTGGGGATTTTGATGACTAGTTTTTCCCAAATTATTACTATTATTTCGTGAGTTTTACACTTAAAAGATTGTGTGGTCATAATTTTCATGAATCATGTGTTGGTAATCTTAGAGAATTCATGTACGAATCCTAGAATTTCAAGGGACATAACTCCATTGCAGCCTATGTTATGAGAATTTTGCCAATGATTATCATGTGGGAGCTTTAATTTGGAGATCGAGATGTAGCTCAAAATATGAACATGGACACCTTTCAATTTTCAGATCCACCTTTGTGATGATATCTTTCACCATGTGCCAGCTAACCAGGCCAGCCTTTACAAACTTGTTTATTTCAAATAATTGGAGAAGCTTACTCACAATACTGGACACCAACCTCTAAGAAACTATTGTTATTCCAGTCAAATGGATCATGCCCCCACTCTAATTTGTGAAAATGAACTCAGATTGATCATGTGTTGGTAATTCATGTGGTGGCGGGGGAGTAATCAGGGACTCACTAGGCAGATTCATCACGACCTTTATTCTCCCATTGGGCCAAGGCACCAACAACTTAGTCGAAACCTCTTCCTTATTCCCTTTTGGGCTTTAGTGGTGTGTGGAAAATGGTCATATCTTTATCTTGGGGGAACCAAAATCTCTGCTCCTTCAAAATTATATAAATTACTCTTAAAAGGTACCTTGGAGGATACACGAAGAAGCGCAACAGATCAAAAAACTAATACGCTAATGTAATTAAGGTATATACACTATAAATACATACCAAGTCGTCAGAGGATTGCTAACTATCAATAGATGGCTATTCCCATCATTTAGAGTCAAGATGAGAAAATCGGAAAGGCTCCAATATGAGCCTTCCTTGAAGCTTTTTCTTTGCCACTGTTTTGGGCTAACATTTTTTGGTTTTCGTCATATGTATACATCTTCTATAGAAGGTTAGGCTAGCCCTTCTTCTTAATATGTAATCAGATTTCAGTGACAATTAAATCAGTTTTTGAAAAAAAAAGAAATTGTAGTGTGTTATTTAATATACAAAAGATATATTTTTTTTAAAAAAAGAACCAATATTAAAATGAATTTCTAATGAAATATAATATGCTACATGAATATCACACTTTAAACGAATTTCAATTGATAATAAATATGAAAAATAAAGAGAATAATAAGTCAAAATTTCCAAAATTATCATTATTAGGTGAATGTCATACCTAAATTACATAACTCTTTGAACTACCCTGAATTCATTGAGCTCGATGGATACATTTTGAACACTTCACTCATTATCTATATTCGCAACAAGTTATTCTAAATATTTTGCAAAATTTTCAACTACAAAATATTTAATCTAAATAAAGTTATAATATCGCAAAGTAATTAAAAACACTTGATCATTTATGTGTGAAACCACAAAACAATATAATACTTTAATTTTTTTAAAAAAATTTATCCGCTAAAAAAAAAAAAAAGAAGTCGCTAAAACCCATTTTCTCGAGGACTCAAACGCAGTCTATCTAAAACCCATAGTACGACACCGTAAATGACCACCGGAACCCATCTCCTCCGCTTACTCGTCTCCTGCCGGAAAATCACTGCACAGGTGACAACCACCAGCACCGACACCATCGTAGCTATGGCTTCATCAGCTGAGCAAGAGTTCGCAGTGCAGTGTAGAGCCAAGCTCAACCGAGTGCCTAGGTGCCGCAATCTCTGGGACACGAAGATGGCCTCTAGAGTCGGAGATAAGCTCGGAGATCGGCTCAGTGAAGTTGGAGTCCACAACGTGGAAATCGACGTTGAGGAGGAGCTCAATAGGCCGGTGCACTACCGGCAAATGGTGGCGCCGCTTTTTGAGTCCGTCAAGCGCAAGGGCATTGCCGTCGTTGGAGCTGACAAATTGGTTTTCTAGTCAAATTTTGGTATCCTTTTAATTCTCATTCTAATCCTGTAGGCTGTAACAAAGACAAAAAAATATATATTATTATGCATTCATAGATAAGCTGATTCAGAATTTGAAGTTTATAGATTTTTACCACAATCTCAAATGGTTGATAATTGGATTTAGAATCAAATATTTTATAGATATTTAGTGAATTTTCAATTATATTTACTGTGTATAGACAAAAAAGAAAGGTACTGGTTCCCGTTAACCTGCACATTATAATCTAATTCTGCCACTGATTTATAGGACTCATAAATTGATCTGTGGTGTCGTGGATTTGAATTCGATACTCTTCAAACAATTGTTGCTTATTGAGATATCTTAAATGTTCTAATTTTAAGAAAGAAACAAAAATGCTTCATTTGGTTTAAATGATGGATCTATTCACATTAACCAGTAATTCTAGAGGCTAGTTACCAGTTTCGAAGAAAAAAAAACAGTTATTCGAGGCTCTAATTTATTTTTTTCAAATAAGAAAATCAAAGCAAGGGAAATATAATGTCTAAATAGATAGTTTGAAGTCTGTTTTGTTACAAATCAGATGCAAGTCCCTTACTTTTTGCCATTTATTCAGGTCCAACCATATTACATGTATGCTATTTTCTTGTGCTGAGTATTTTTTATGATTCTGAAGCTTCTCCACCCCTAATTTTTCATCATATTATTCTCCATGAATTTGTTTTATTTGTGTTTTTATGTGTCTGAGGCAGTTTCAAGTTTAAGCTGATCCTTTAGGCAGTTTTCAAAGCATAGGTTGGTTCATCTAAGGTTACACAACTCTTAACATTTGTGTATTGCCGATTATAAAAAGATGGCCACTTCTATTGGGGAAATCTCTATGGAAAGGTGAAATTTTTGGTCCTTGTTTTCGCTTATATTTAAGGGACAACTTTTATTTTGACCAACAGTTTGATTGGGATGTTATCTTCTTGCAACATTTCATTTGATTGCAATGTGAATTAAGATCCATTCCCTTGCTGCATGATTGCAATTTTTGTCTCCTAATGACCATTTGGAGATTTGATTGAATTTTAATTTCTCAACCGTCTTGGAAGTTTTGATATGTTGAATCTCATTGATGTTTCTCAATTATTTCTCATCATTCCCACACATGGATTTTGTAACTATCTATTCTTCCATGGGTTTTGGTCATCTTATTTTCTTTCATATAATATCTTTACCGACTTTACAATACCCAGAAGGAAAAAAAAATTATAACTAGGTAGGCACATTCCATTAAATTCAATCTTCGGAGGAATCATCATAAGTAGACTAAGCTTACTCTTACCCTCGACCTATTGAAAACCTTCTCCTTTTTCTGTGTTTGAAGCCGGTTATAATTTGGGAACTCAAATAGTGGAATTTGTACTCCAACCAGTTCAGTTTTCAGAGGATTCATCATAGTTAGACTATGTTTACTCTAACTGTCAACTTATATATTGGAATCCTTCTACTCTTTCAGGCTTAAAATATTGTAACGATTCTTTTCTTTTTGAGATTCTTGTGTGATAGGGACCAATAGAGCATATCTAATTGCTGCTATATTTTGTCTGAATTAGCAGTTCTTCCACTCTAGCAAGGCTTGCTCCCCTTCAAGCCGTACTATTTGACATTGACGGAACTTTATGTGATTCAGATCCATTTCACTATCTTGCATTCCGTGAGATGCTTTTGGAGGTATGTACCAATTACTATGATTTATTTCCTGTAGATACAAAGCTACATCAGTTCACAATGGAGAAAAAGAAGAAGAAATTGTTAGCTCTAAGGGTGTATTTGGTATGAAGAAAATGTTTATCATGAAAAAAATATCTTGGAAAATAAATTTTTTATTTATTTTATTTTATGTGTTTGGTAAGTAAACAGAAACATATTGTTTCAAGAGCATTAATATCTAATATAGGAAAACACTATGAGGTGGGGATTGGAGGCAGTGGAGGTTTGTGATGCGGAGAAGACAATGGACTTGGAATTCTACTTATGGAACTTTTTTTCTCTACTATCACTAGGAAAGCCATTTTCCTCATTTTTAAGAAAGCTATTTTTCCATAGAAATGTTTTCCGAAACATTTCGACCAACCAAACATGAGAAAATTAGAAAATATTTTCAAGAAAATGTTTTCCTCCATAACAAAACACATCCAAAATCTCAAAGTCATGATTTTCATTCCCTTTGCAATTTGGGTTAATTTCAACAGATAGGATACAATGGGGGAGTGCCAGTTGATGAGGAGTGGTTTGTCAAGACTATTTCTGGGAAACACAATGATGATCTTGTCTCTGTACTTTTTCCTAATGATCACGAACGGGGTGTAAAATTCTTGGATGACAAGGAAGCTTTGTTTAGAAGGTTTTTAACTTCTCTACCATACCTTGTCTGTTTCAATGAGTTAAAATTTTGGTTTTATGCATTTACAGTGTTAAAAAATACTTACATAATAAATCAGTTCACTAATAAGGTTTACAATTAGATCTCTATGATAACAATTAACTGGTAACCTGCTATAATAGATTTAACTACACTTAGTCGTGCAAAAAATTGGATCCTCCGCATGTGAAAGCATAGAGAAAAATGACATTGCCAAAAACCAACAAGGTAAAATTTCCATCTATTAATCAAAAAAGTGGCCTTTTGAAGTTAGAATAATTTTCCTTGAGACGTGACATAATGCATGAAAGGATCCTTGAATCACCATAGGGTATCCTGAAAATCCTTAGCAAAGACTTCTACAATACGTTCAGGAAAGGTTTTAACTAAAGTCCCATTTACTTGATCAAAAAGAATAACTTAAGTCCCATTTCTTTATCAAAACAATAGCTTAAGTTCCACTTCAATTTTAGTGTTATGCAATATAGCTATAAGCTCAATATCATTACGCCAATCTCATTTCTCTTTTGGATGGACAATATAGGTTGGCAAAAGAGCAGTTGAAACCTCAAAATGGTCTCTACAAGTTGAGAAAGTGGATCGAAGATCACGGTCTGAAACGAGCTGCAGTTTCCAATGCACCTAGAGCTAATGCTGAACTATGTATAAATCAAGTTGGCCTTGCTGATTTCTTTGATGCACTTATTCTTGGAAGTGATTGCAAGCATGCAAAACCATATCCTGATCCATACTTGAAGGCCCTTGAAGTGTTGAATGTATCAAAAGATCACACATTTGTATTTGAGGTATGATTCTGTTTTGACTTCCAGTTTTCCTTATCAGTTTTGTCGCAGTCCAACTTCCAATTTGTCGCACCAAAATAAAAATAAAAAGCTGATGATCATGTGCCACAGGGTGAAAAGCATCAGATATTTGGTTATTACTTAATGAGTTCTTTTATTTGTTTTTAAGTGGTGATGTGAATACTATGTAAAGTGAGTTCCAGACGCGACTACACCTACATGGCAACTTTATACATCTAGCATTGTATCAATTCACTTTACATAATATCCACATGGCACCACTAAAAAAAATAAAAATCCAATTCCAACTCACTTGAAAAAAAATGAAAACTAATAATCATATGTCACACATGATGAAAGACATCGTACATTTGGTTTGTAGGTTGGGATTTTTTTTTTTCCTCCAAGTGGTACATGAATAGTATGTAAGGTTAGTTGTTGACGTGATTATACCTGCATGACGTTCTTATACAGCTAGTGGTCTACTTGTGTTTTTGGGGTTAGACAGCTTTCCAGGCAATTTTTTTTTGTGAGACATATCTCTTACTTCGATTATTGTATTATTTGCTGTAGTTATTGTTCCTTTTCCAGAACGCTATGCCATGCTTCCTATAGTGTTTTTTGCAATAGCTTCTTTACTCCAGTATGTCTTTTTCCTTGAACCAAGGTTCTATCAGAAACACAGATAGACCTCTCTACCTCCCAAGGTATGGGTAAGGTCTACGTACACTCTACCCTCCTTAGATCCCACAATGTGTATATTGTTGTTGTTGTTTCAATTATGAATTTAACCCTGGTTTCATCTTATGAACTTATTATATGTGTGCTCCATGGGTAGGATTCTGTCTCAGGAATAAAAGCTGGGGTGGCTGCTGGAATGTCTGTCATTGGTTTGGCGAACCGGAATCCATCTCAGTTACTTATGGAAGCGAAGCCTGTTTTTCTTATTAAAGATTATGAAGATCCAAAGTTATGGGCAGCTCTTGAGGAGATTGACAAGATGTCTGTCACCAGGAAGACCACAACATGAGGCATATACAATTAAGAGGTGAAAGTTCGACAAAAACTTACTCACATCCGATGTTTACACTAAACCATAGTGGTTTTACTATGACTAATCGATAGATCGAGGTTGAAAGCACACAGTACGAAGTACCATGGTCAGCGATACGTGTATGTGAACGACTGTGTCATGTAGTTGTTGAGTTAATGTAAACACCATCTATGAGTTGAAAAAAAGTTGTGAGGAACTTTTTGTTCTTGCTTGAGCAGATCTCTTCAGGAATATCAGTTACAGAATATTGATGTAATTTTACTTAAATTGTGTACTAAAGGAATTAGAATCCACGGGAAACACAAACGTGTCAAAAAATTAGTATATATAATGTGTAAAAGATTCAGCTTAATAGTCAAAGCCACAAGTTAACTATTATTTTTGTGTGTGTTTCAATTCTAACTATCAATTATTCTCTTTTCCTGTTGGTACTATCATCATCTATATATTAAGACATATTGAAGCTGAATAGGTCAATTATCAGTTTTTTTTTCTTCTATTTGAACTTTCACCATTTATTCAATCAAGTGTATTTTGTTGCATAGATGGTGACAATTTAGATAGGAACTGCACGATTTTCAAGCGTAGAGTGTTAGTGGCACTTAATGTTTGATATCTACATTAGAGTTTGATTAAATTTGAATTCATGTTGAGAAATCTTACATTAGGAGGCAAAATGCTCCATAATGAACACAACTCCATATTCAAGATGATCTAAATATGAAACTTTTATTAAGAATGAAGTTATCGATGATCAAAAGCTAATCATCGTGCTATAGTTGCAACCAACATCACCATCATATCAATTATTAGTTCAACTTCTTGATGAAAACAACAATTTTAGTTGGTGATTAAGCAATTATCACGCTCTCTTACTTGTTAGATAACTCATGAAGAAAGAAAGTTCAAATACAAAATCTATCAATCAAAATTAAAATAATACTATAGGAAGTCAAATATAATAAGAATTGCCTAGTGCGGATTACCTTTATGGTGTGGTTTGTGAGCTCTATTGCATACAAACAAGAATTTTACCTTAAGCACATTCATAGAATAGCAATTGCGGATATCCTTTGTGATAAAAAAAGTTAAATGAAATAAAATAACATTTTTAATATATTCGATTTTTTTTTCTTATAATAGAGTCTATTAACCATGATTAAGATAATATTATAAGAAGTTAAACAAAAAAATTACGTTTTGATACATTTAATTTTTTTTAGTCTTAAAGTGGCATATATTAATCACTTAATTAAATAATACTACAAGAAGTTAAATAAAGTAAAATAACGTCTTGATACATTTACCTTTTTTTATATCTTAAAACACAATATATTAATTATAATTAAATAATACTATATAAAAAAATAGAATTACATTGTGATACATTTAACTTCTTATCTTAAAATAAAATATATTTGGTACCTCTATGGGGCCGCGTAAATTCTACTTTCTCCATACCCTATATTTTTAGATTTCATTAAATATATAGTTATATTTTCAAAACAAAATATATCTATTTTATTACATACAAAGTAAAATAAAATAAAATGATGCACATTAATTTTTTTTATTTGAAATAAATATTAATTACGATTAAATTAATAATACTATAAACAGTTAAATATAATGACATTTTGGTTGTACAATTAATTTTTTTTTTCCTTTAAAAAGAATTTTCATCATATCTTTCTTCTTCTTCATCGGCCCTTTCACCGAACCCTAACTTTCCCCATTTTTTTCCAAACCCTAAAAGTCGAGCACTCTACCAAAATCTCTCTTCGAAAAATCCATAATTTTCATGCAAAAATTCAGCCTTTAACGCTAGTTTTTCATTATACAATTTTTGATTTTGGAGAAAAAAAGTATACAGTGTAAGAAGCAGTTGAAGGATTTTTTTACCATGGATTCTCAGCCGAACAATCTCTACGACACGGCGTCTCAGCCGGATACCGGCAACGACGCATACACATTTCTGGAATTCAACACACAAGGGGAAGAGTTTGATTATCCTGAATTTCAAGAGCTTTCACAGCCAATTCGATCTTCTGCGTGGCCAACACCATCTGATTCTCTGGTATCTGAAGTACCTGATCGGCCTCCATCGTCGGAAGCATCGCCGTCGACGAAATCACGAGGTGGAGGTGGGAATAGTAATGTTAGTAGTAGTAGTAATCAGGCGTCGGTGGTGGATGCATTGGCAGCGGGCATGAGTGGGTTGAATTTTGAAGAGACGGGGGATGATGAGGGTTTTGAGTATGGAAAAGGGGATTTTGGGGTTGAGCATGCTTGTAAGTACTGTGGAGTGACGAATCCTGCTTGTGTAGTTAGGTGCAATGTGCCATCTTGCCGTAAGTGGTTCTGTAATTCCAGAGGGAACACTTCGGGCTCGCATATTGTTAATCACCTGGTATGTAAGAGGAGATATGTGCATTTTAATTTTAGCTTATTTTGATTCTTGTGGATTAGTGAATGGCTCTCTTCGTTGAGCAAAATAGCTTTATTAACATAAATAATTTGTTTCTGATGAGTAGCTTTGTATTAAAAGACAAAAATAAATCATCATCCACAACAACATACATATGGGGAGGGTTGAGACCGTTTCGGAAGGACACTTCAAATCATAGGAAAACATTACATAGCATTTAGAAAACAAGGAACAGTAATAACAGCCAAATAACACAATAACCGAAGCATATGAAACAACATGCAGTAGCAGAAATAAACTACAAGATTAATGCTACTACTACTGGTATGAAAGGAGAAACAGGTAGAATGCATCAAATTAGCACCAAGCCTATCCCCTTGGAAAGTGAGACAACATCACTACCTACTAACCTTCTACCTTTATCTTCAACCTTCATATCCTCTTACCTAAGGTCATACCCTTGGTAAGCTGAAGATGCGTTGGTTTTTCCTTTTGTAGTTTATTTGGATGATGAATTGAGATGATTCCAGTTATAGTGACTGAATGAAGAACAAAATTTTCTGACCGCATTTTGTTAACGAAAGCAGGATTTAAGTCTGAAAACCTCACACCCACTACTCCCTTGGACTTAATAGAGGTATATATAGTTCAAGCAAAAGGCAGTGCTGTGCCTCACTAGCTGCAGAAAGAGTGGGTGCTGCATAACAAGTGGATTTCTTGTGGCAGGGGCGTGTTTCAGATAATGTGGTAGTCTCCTTTCGTCCCTGGCCCCTCTCTGTTCTCTCTGGGAACTTGTGTGAGGAAAAAGTATGGACATGGTTAAACATGGAGAAGTATGGAACGGGAAATACTTGTACAGGGTAGCACCAGAAAAGTGAAGTAGGTGAAGCTTATGCAATTATCTTTGATTTAGTGATCATACACGACTAGCCAATTAGTCTTTATTCTGTTTCTTCATGTTAATTGATATGGATTTTAGTAGTAGGTGATTACTGTTGGAAAGACAATTTTGCCTATTTTCTCAGATCTGTTGTTAGTCTATCTTTAGTAATATGACCCAATGGGATGCCATTCATTCAGAAAATAAAATTAAGGCAGTTACCATAAAAATGTTATTAAAAAAAAGGATAATCACAAGTGGTTGGTCTGAGTTATACAAAAATGATAATAGTAGATTTATATCTAGCTTCATCAATCTTTTAACAGAAGGAGTTTCCTCAGAGTTCAACTCTAGATTTCCTCAGTTCATGATAAGTTTAGTGAACAAACTATGGTTTTCTCTTTTTTTTTTGTAATGTATATTTCCAGCTCTTTTGTGCTGGGGGATCTCTTGGATAAAATAAACTTTTATCCCAATAAAAAGAAGGTTTTGACTTTTGTCTGAATCATGCAATTTTCATCTCCACCATAGTTCCTTATTTATTCATGTGAGAGAAGTTGAAAGGGAAACTCTCTATATGTTCATCAGGGAGACAAGCCAAAGCATCACCTTTCTTAGTTTATAAGGCAGTGAATTGTCTCTAGATGATCCAAACTGTGGGAATTTCCTGACAAAATACAAAATCTTAAATGCATGTTATATTTTGTTAGTGTCACCATTCTAGACAGTTTGATTGGCCGCTTATGTTTAATGGATTTACATTGGAGAGTTATATTCCTCTTGACTTTTCCTACAATTGGGGTGTGTATGATTTTATTTCCAGAAACAAGGGATTTATTGTGTTTTTTTGGTTGACGTTGTATATACTCAACTTCTCCCTATAGGTGCGAGCAAAACACAAGGAGGTGTGTCTTCATAAAGACAGTCCACTTGGAGAAACAATTCTAGAGTGCTACAATTGTGGATGCCGAAATGTCTTTCTTCTTGGTTTCATTTCTGCCAAGACAGAGAGTGTCGTTGTTCTCCTCTGTAGAGAACCTTGTCTAAGTGTTAATGCATTAAAGGATATGAACTGGGACCTGAGTCAGTGGTGCCCACTCATTGATGACAGGTGCTTTTTGCAGTGGCTTGTTAAGGTCCGGATTCTCTTTCTTAGTCTTCCCTTCTGTTCCTTTTGGTTTCTGTTTTCTGTCCTGTATTTGTGATGTGTGGAGTGCTGCAGGTCCCTTCCGAGCAAGAACAGTTGAGAGCGCGCCAGATCAGTGCTCAACAAATCAACAAAGTAGAAGAATTGTGGAAGACAAATCCTGATGCTACCCTGGAAGATCTTGAGAAGCCTGGTGTGGATGATGAGCCTCAGCCTGTTGCCTTGAAGTATGAAGATGCCTATCAGGTTCTCGCTGGGTGATACTATTATATTATCTCCTTTACCTTTTATTTGTATAGAGATGCATTGCAGGAATTATTCTGCTATGTAGTTGTGAGTTGCCCCTGGATTGAGTATTGACATTTTAACTATGCTTGCCTTGACTCTTTTAATGTAGTATCAAAACATATTTGCACCATTGATCAAGCTTGAAGCTGACTATGATAAGGTATGTCAGGATCTTAAGATTATTTTAGATGCTGGAGCCTGAATGCTTAATCCTATTTTATTTTCTTAGCTTTTGTTGCATCCTGAAATATCATGTATTTTTATTTAAAGCTACCTGCGTCTTCTCACTTTTGCTTTTGGATAGTGGGTGTGTTACTTCTTAAGTTACCTGATAGTGAGTTTTGTCCGTAGAAGTGCTGAATTTATGAGGACAATTGCATTTACACTTGATTGACTCTTTCTTCTTGGTTCTTAATCTTCGTGACAATTGAACTAAGACATGTCAGTTACTACTCTCTGTGTTTCTCATGAGCAAAGATGTGATACTTTTTAATTTGCTCATCTTGTTCTTTTGCCTTTAAGTAGAGTTTATACTTGTCTTGAGGGTATGCTTACAAGCTTTGGAATTTTGTTTTCTGCTTGGTAGATGATGAAAGAGTCTCAAAGTAAAGACAATC